TTATTTTCGTCGATAAAAAGAGAGAAATGAGCTCGGGAATTTATGAAAATTAATTAATGATCTTGTCAGTAGTAAAGTATATTTAATAAGAGAAAAATAGTTCAAGAACAAAAAAGTGCTAGATTACAATAGTTTTTCACTAATATTCAGTCTTTTGTTAAAGCTAATTTAACTTTCTTTTGACGACCCTTTCCCCTTCTTATCCCAAGTGGCTGTGGAACTTTACGATGATTCCACACCATTAGTTCGGCGAGGCATTATGAAAGAGCAGATTTAATTGAGAATGTACTGCTGGGACCTTCTTTCCGAGCTCATTTATTATTTTATCCTTTATTGTGTATACATTATTCATATCTATAATTAGTTTTGTTTTATTCTTCTGTTGGACAAAAATAAAAGTAATTGTATTACGAAGCTTATAACTAACAAATAAGATCTAAGTTCTCCTTATCGAAAACTTGTTGTATTGGAATGTTTTTGAAGTTGCTAAGATCGATATGTTATCTTCCAGTAAAAAAATTCTATTCTCAAGACTAACTGTCCTGAGAGCAGGAGTTAAACGTGCTTTTGGAAAATGCGCTATAATGGGTTTTTTCTCGACTGCTCAGAAAAAAGGTTTCTTTTTGCAAGATTTATTAGGGATCATCCTTAATATGCGATGAACAATCGACAAATTTGCTTTAGGCAGGGAGAAAGTATGAAGTGCTCGGAAATTGTTTTTCCTGTCGTACATTTATTTTTATTGAAAACTATATGTACTTTTATAACTTTATATTAAGATACATTATTATTTCAATGGATGTAAGCACAAATGCCAGAAAACAAAAGAAATATCGTGATAATATAAACAATATATTAGACAAGAAAGAACAAAAATTACAATCAAGAAATGATAATGGTACAACAAATGTTATGGATTTTAGTAATGATGATAATTATATGAATATTAGTCATGGTGAAAATGAGGTGAACATCAGTGGTGACGAAGAAAATCTTACTGTTGATAATAATGACCAAGACATTGAAAGATTTTTTGAAGCGATCGATTTAGATGACAAGATGAATGAAGAAGATGACGATGATGATAGCAACAACGATGGTGATAATGCGGAGGAAGATGACAATGATATTGAAACAGGAAATGAAACATTATATCAAGGTTTTATTTTA